TATCCAGAAGAATACTCAAGACACTGAAAGTGTTGGTCTTCTCTGGGGAAGAAGACCAAGTTAGTGGGAGACAAAGTGATAGAATGAATGAGTAAACAATATGTTAGAAAAACAAAAGAAAAGTAAATCCATTTAAATAAGCCAATAAGCTGATATCTGGGCAAGTAAGTATAAGCAAGAAAAAAAAAGGGTAAATGCAAACAATTACAAATAGAAAATATTACAGCCAGAGATACACAAGAAAAAATAAATTTTAAGAGCATACTCCCTATAACTCTATATTACTTAAATAAAAAATTTAAGTAAAATAGGCACAATTATAGGACAATGTAAATTAAAATATATTTTAAATAGTCTCAAAAGCCAAATAAAACAGAGGGGAAAAATGAAAAAAATTGTCAAATAAGTAATTACTATAGTGGCAAGCTCTAGGCTCATAAAACTGTAGAAATAAATTTTGTTTAAACTTTAATGAGTAGAATATCACATAGTATATAAACTTCCCTGTAGCAGAAAAATATTAAGCACCTTAATACTGCAAAACTATACTACATAATATTATTTAAATATTAACACAAAAATACTCAACACACTCACACACAGAGAAACAAGACTTGAAGGAAATACCAAAATGTATCAGTGATTTGAGTTATAATACAGGTGATTTTTATTATCTTTCTTCTACTCTTCTCTACTTTCTAATGTGTCTAAATTAATACAGTTTATTCTAATAATATTTTACAAAGTACCACCTCCTGTGCATGATCAAGACATACCTATTAAGTGCCACATCACAATAAACCAGTGGTTCTCAACCTATGGGTCGCGACCCCTTTGGGGGTCTAATGACCCTTTCACAGGGATCGCCTAAGACCATCGGAAAACACATATATAATTACATATTGTTTTGTGATGAATCACTATGCTTTAATTATGTTCCATCTGTAACAAGGAAATTGGGGGTCACCACAACATGAGGAACTGTATTAAAGGGTCGCGGCATTAGGAAGGTTGAGAACCAGTGCTCTAGGCCCAGGTGTCCTGTCTCCCCAAAGGCCCCACCAGTCAGA